AAATGAATACTCCCCAATCTAGTGGCGACCGCTGCCATGGTCATGGTCATATCGGAATTCGAATCTGTTTAGAGAAAAATAAAATAAAATTAAGCATCTGATAAAATAAAATAAAATAATAAATTGAAAATAAAATGAAATGGGTTGCCTCCTATCAAGCGCTTTTGTTTAACGTCGTTAGCTTGACGACTTGATTTTTCAAAGCGTGGGTTCCTCTAAATTGATTTTTGCGATTAGACCAACTAGAGCATTTTCATAATATGGCTTCAATCTTTGACCATTAACTTTAAATCGTGCTTCTGAGTTATCTTCAATTTCAACAGCACCGTGAGAAAATACTTGAGTAATTGTAAACGGTCCGAGCCATTTTGATTTGAGTTTTCCTGTAAAAAGTTTAAATTTGGAGTTAAATAATAAAACCTTTTGACTAACAGAAAAAGTTTTAAAAGAAATTATACTATCGTGAAATTCTTTTGTTTTTTCTTTAAATATCCAATATTATAGGCATTTTTCGGATTTCCTCAAGTTCTTGAATGTGTAATTTTGAGCTTCACCAATTGTATCCATGTCTATGTTACATTGTTTAACGGCCCAATAAGCCGATGTTCTAACTCGACTGGTAAATGGCATGGTTTACCGAAAACAAGACGGTATGGTTACATCCCAATGGGACCTTTATAAGCAGTTCGATATGCCCAAAGTGTATCGGTTAATTTTAAACTCCAATCCTTTCGGTCCAGCTTAACAATTTTCTCTAGAATTGTTTAATTTCTCGATTTGATACTTCTGCCTGTCCATTTGTTTGTGGATGGTAAGTGGTAGCAATTCTTTGAGTTACTCCAAATTTCTTCATTAGCGACTCGATTACTCGGTTGATGAAATGTGTTTCTCTGTCGCTTATTATAGCCCGTGACGTGCCAAACCTGGAAAAAATATTTTTCAAAAAATTAATTGTTGTTTTAGCATCATTTTTCTGAGTGGCTTTAGCTTCCACCCACTTAGAAACATAATCCACAACAAAAATAATATAAGTATTTCCAAATGACGAAGTAAAAGGATCCATATAGTCGATTCTCCAAACATAACAAATTTCACAAACTTGTATAGAATTAAGCGATATTTCATTCCTAAGGCTTAAATTACCTATACGTTGACATCTTTCACAAGTTTTACAAAATACATAAAAATCCCGAAAGATGTTAGGCCAATAGAAACCGCATTCAAGAATTTTATGAGCTGTGTGTTTTGGCCCAAAATGATCACCGCAAGAGTAAGAATAAAAAAATTATAAAATTGAGTTTACCTCACTTTCAGTAATACATCGTCGAATTACCTGATCCGAGCAGTGCTTTCATAAATAAGGATTGTTCCAAATATAGTATCGGGATTCTCTCTTAATTCGATTGATTTCATCTCTCGGGAAATCTAATGGTAACTTACTTGTGGCCAAATAATTAATCATGTCTGCAAAGCATAGAGTTATGCTTTGCACCACCATTAGTTTTTCTTCAGGAAATTCTTTTCTAAGTAGTGGTTCGGATGTAGAAAGGGGAATTCGACTCTAGTGATCTGCTACCAGATTTTCACATCCCTTTTTTTCTTTGATTTCCAAATTAAATTCATGTAAAAGCAGGATCCACCAGATAAGCCTCGGTTTTGCTTCCTTTTTGCTCATTAAATACCTTACAGTTGCATGATCAGAAAATACAGTAATTTTAGTACCAAGAAAATAGGATTTGGATTTTTCTAAAGCAAAAATTATAGCAAAAAGTTTTTTCCATAGTTGAATAATTTTTCTGAGCAGAGTCCAAAGTTCTAGACGCGTAGGCTATGATATGTGGCTCTTTCCCTATTTTTTGGCCTAGAACGACTCTAATGCTAGTGTCCGATGCGTCACACATAAGTTCAAAGGGATGATTCCAATCTGGTGGCTGAACAATTGAAGCTGAAATAAGCTTTTCCTTTAATGAATCAAAAGACTCCTTGCATTTTGAATTAAAGTCAAAGTCTTGATCTTTTTGAAGTAGATTTCATAAAGGTTGTGATATCTTCGAAAAGTCCTTAATAAACCTGCGGTAAAATTCTGCATGGCCAAGAAAAGAACGAATTTTCCTCAGAGTTGTGGGGTAAGGAAGTGAGCGTATAACATCTGTTTTAGCTTTATCAATCGCAATCCCTTTTGAGGAAACAATATGACCTAAAATTAACCCTTTATCAACCATAAAATGACATTTTTCATAGTTCAAAACAAGGTTATATTCTAAGCATCTTTTAAGCACATTAGTTAAATTATCAAGACATTCATTAAAAGAGTTACCATAAATCGTGAAGTTATCCATAAAGACTTCGATGCCCTTCTCCACATAGTCGGAAAATATACTTAACATGCATCATTGGAAGGTGGTCGGTGTTTTACAAAGACCAAAAGGCATTCGTCTTTATGTAAATGTACCGAAGGGACAAGTAAAAGTCATTTTTCTTGATCCTTTGGCGCCATTGGGATTTGGAAAAAACCTGATAACCCATCAAGGCAACAATAATGAGTTTTCCCAACTAATCTTTCAATCATTTGATCTATAAAAGGAAGAGAAAAATGATCTTTTCGAGTAAGAGAGTTCAACTTCCTGTAATCAATATAAACTCGCCATCCATTTTGAACTCTTGTTGGCACTAACTCTCCTTCTTAATTTTTAACCACTGTGACTCCTGTTTTCTTGGGAACCACATGAATCGAACTTACCCAATTACTATCCGAAATTGGATAGATTACGTCAGCATCAAGGAGTTTCTAAATTTCTTTCTTTACTACTTCCATCATCGATGGATTTAATCGACATTGTCCTTCACGTGATGACTTTGATCCTTCTTCGACTTTGATCTTGTGCATGTAAGTCGAGAGACTTAATCCTTTAATGTCGGCAATGGTCCATCCTATGGATTATTTGTGAGAGCGTAATACCGCTATCAAAGCTTCCTCTTCTCCTTCGGATAATTTACTTGAGATGATCACTGGCAAAGTTTTATTTTCGCCCAAAAAGACATATTTCAAATGCTTTAGTAATTGCTTCAATTCTATCTTAGGTGCCTGTAAAATAGAAGGTAAAATTTTAGTTTTAGAGGAAGATAAAGATAAATCAGAATTGATTAAATTAATATTTTCAAACTCTCTTTCTTTCTCTTCATGGCAAAGTTTAAGATCCTTAAAAAGATCATAAGAAAAATTAGATTCAATATATTCATCAATTAAAGGATCTATAACATCAACATAATTAATTCTTTCAACATGATTAGGGTATTTCATTGCTTTGTAAACATCAAATTCAACGATCTTACCATCAAATTCCATTGTTAGTATACCACTTATAACATCGATTTTTGTATGTGCTGTGCTTAGGAAGGGTCGGCCTAAGAGTACCTTAGAATAAGAATCCGACCTATCATGTTCCAAGTCAATAACATAGAAATTTGTAGAAAAGAATAATACATCGACCTTTACCAAGACGTTTTCCATTACTCCCAGTGGATAGATCACAGATCGATCAGCCAATTGTATGGTTATTCCTGTTTCCTTCAAAGGCTCGTTAGTAATCATTTTATATATAGAAAATGGCATAACATTAATTGAAGCTCCTAAGTCACACATTGCATGTTTAATTTTAAAATCACCTATTTTGCAATGTATAGCGAACATACCTTGATCCTTCATCTTTGGTGAGAGCTTTCGTTGAAAAATTGCAAAGACATGTTCTCCCAAATTTACCTTTTTGTGCCCCATTAATTTCCTCTTTTGTAGTGCAAAGTTCTTTTAAGAATCGAGCATACCTTGGTACTTGTCAAATTACTTCAAGAAGAGGTATGTTGACTTGAACTTTTTGGAACACCTCTAAGATCTAATTTTCTTCAGCTCTTTTAATACGCTTCATCAACCTTGATGGGATGGGTGGTGGCGTGATTTCATGAGAAGAAAGAGAAGGATGTGATTCAGATGTACCTTGTATTTATGAAGGTGACGTGTCCTCTTGTTCTTCTTGATGTGTAACTTTTTCTGCTGGAACTTCGAGCGAGATAACTTTTTCACTTCGGAGTGTGATGGCACTAACATTTTTTCTCGGATTTAACTCCTTTTAAGAAGGTAGTCTTCATTGTGATTCCAATTTTCCCATAGTTTGAGCTAGTGGGCTTTCTTGGTTATCTAACTCTCGAAGATGTGTTTCGGTTTGCTTTGGGATTTTTCCTGGGATGTAATGAATTTTTCTTATGAAATTACTAACTTCCTTATGAATTGCTCCAATGATGGTTTTTGCATTTGATGTTGTCGCAACCGTCTTTCGATTGGGCCCCGGAATTGGGCTTCGACTTGAAAAATGTGGATTGGAGTCGCCACCGATCATTTATTTTTTTAAAAAATGGGTTGATCGGATACCTTATTTCTTACTTGATTTGCGTCTTACCAGAAATATGTCGGGCTCGGGAGTCGGTTACAGTCAATGAAGGATTAGCACCCTTGAACCACCCTTTCGGTACCAATTAATTTACTGGTTGTCTTTATTTGCGAAAATTCAAAATTAAAATTAAAATTTAACAGACCCGATTCAAATCATTCACCTTTGATTAGTTAAAACTATCCCTAAAAATGTTAGATTTAAAAAAAATACTAAATAAACTAAAGAGGAAAATATATAAATTAAAAGAAAAAAAAGTTGAGAAATGAGCAAAATAGAAACGACAAGTTCCCTGGCCATGTAAAAGCTATTGTGCTCTTTTGTAATTATGAAATAAGCTTTGGCAAGTGTCATTTGTTCTGCCAACTGTCGAGACAATGACATAGCACCCAATATTTTTTTCAGTAAAGTTTCTTTCGAAATAATTCAATTCCTGACATAGAGTTGACAAAATAAATTAAACCAACGAGAACAGTATAATTAAAATAAAAAAAATACCGCATTTTGTCTGGCATTGCTCTCAGCGTCTATATACGGCCCACTCTAAGAGATGAGTTCTTACCCTTTGATTTTAGCATCAAGGCGTTTTAACATAGGAGCATTCTTTAACCTATCCGGTATGACCATGAACCCAACTTTACTGCCTCGGATGAAAACATGCTCAAGCTGCGAAACCTTTCTCTCTTTAGCAGTGAAGGTGATGTTCTTAAGCTGGCAATTCCAATTATCCTTGCACTCGGCCATGCTTCCTCTGTAAAGCTCTCCACTCTTGAGTTCCACCGTTATGATGTGACCCGACCCCTCGTGTAGTAGCTTCACCGGTATGCCCAAACTCCGACTCATTGTTTCTCGCCCGCCTGCTTTGCTTATGGAATTCAAAATTGATTCTTTATGTTCCATGTTCTTCTTATTTGTCTTTTATAGCGAAACCATATTGTTACGCTTAGACTTTGGCATCTTCGACGATGAAGGTCGCCTGAAAAAGATGAAATCAACAGGCGACCTATTTACCCTGCTTATGCAACTCGTAAACCCCTCTCTGTTCTTTTCGTGTACAACTCGTGTGTTTTTTGTGTCCCCCCATGAGTGTTCTAGTTACATGGGATTTATAGCTTAGGATTTTAGAGTTTGATCCCTATTATAATTCTAACTCGGTTGTTTGTTGGTTTGTTATCTCCATGAAATCCTTACGTCGGAGAAATCGGAGTGGTTGAAGATGGGATATGCATCCGTGAAATCCGAGCTTGGGAAGTTCCGTGCGGCGCTGCTTGCTAGGGTTCCTGGAAACCTTGATCTGAGTTGGTTTGTTGGGCATGTGGTGCCTGTTGGGCCTCGTGTTTTTTTGTAGGGCCTGCAAATGTAACAAAAACAATAAATAAATAAATAAATAAATATAACACGTAATATATATATATATATAATATGTTTTATATTAAATATTATAATAGGACAAAATTTAGTGTCTACAGCTGCCCCTCTTTGCTCATTATCGTGTAACGAAAATAGAGCAAAGATTAAAAGACACAAATTTCAGCCATATCGAATATCCTCTGTCGTAGAGTTGAAATCCGATATGGAAACTGGTTTGTCAATATGAATCACGAGATGACCCCCTCGTCGTGAGGTTGAGTCAAAACTGGAAAATTCTGAGCCTGAATCATTCGTCGTAAAGTTGAAAACGAGCAAGAGATGGATGCTGCTTGTGTGCACGATTCCCTTCGTCATGAAGTTGAAACCGCGGGGGACCCCTTCGTCGTGAAGTTGAGCATGGAATTGGATATCCTTCGTCGTGAAGTTGAAATCCAAGTAAGTAGCATTGTTCTGAGTCCAATATCCTCCGTCGTGAAGTTGAAATTGGCTCTGGAATCGGGAAATTGTTTGTTGACAACCAACCGTCCCTTCGTTGTGAAGTTGAACTTATGTTGTCTCGAGTCCAATATTCTTCGCTATGAAGTTGAAATTGACTCCGAAATTGGGAAATTGTTTGTTGACAACCAGCGGTCCCTTCTTCGTGAAGTTGAACTTGCGTTGTCTTGAGTCAAATATCCTTCGCTGTGAAGTTGAAATTGGCTCTGAAATTGGGAAATTGTTTATTGACAACCAGCGGTCCCTTAATCGTGAAGTTGAACTTGCGTTGTCTGGAGTCCAATATCCTTCGTTGTGAAGTTGAAATTGGCTCTGAAATTGAGAAGTTGTTTGTTGACAACCAGCGGTCCCTTCGTCGTGAAGTTGAACTTGCGTTGTCTGGAGTCCAATATCCTTCTCTGTGAAGTTGAAATTGGCTCTAAAATTGGGAAGTTGTTTATTGACAACCAGCGGTCCCTTCGTCGTGAAGTTGAACTTGCGTTGTGTTGAGTCCAATATCCTTCGCTGTGAAGTTGAAATTGGCTCTGAAATTGGGAAATTGTTTATTGACAACCAGCGGTCCCTTCGTCGTGAAGTTGAACTTGCGTTGTCTGGAGTCCAATATCCTTCGTTGTGAAGTTGAAATTGGCTCTGAAATTGAGAAGTTGTTTGTTAACAACCAGCGGTCCCTTCGTCGTGAAGTTGAACTTGCGTTGTCTGGAGTCCAATATCCTTCGATGTGAAGTTGAAATTGGCTCTGAAATTGGGAAATTTTTGTTGACAACCAGCCATCCCTTCATTGTGAAGTTGAACTTGTGTTGTCTCGAGTCCAATGTCTTTCGCTGTGAAGTTGAAATTGGCTCTGAAATTGGGAAGTTGTTTGTTGACAACCAGCCGTCCCTTCGTTGTAAAGTTGAACTTGTGTTGTCGCGGATGGCCCCTTCATTGTAAAGTTGAGCCTTGACTTGAATATCATTCGTCGTGAAGTTGAAATCCAAGTATTGTATGTTGCGGGTGGACACAATTCCCTTCGCCGTGAAGTTGAAACCGTGGAGACCCCTTTATTGTGAAGTTTGGCTTCGAGCTAGATATCATTCGTCGTGAAGTTGAAATCCACTCTCGAGCAAATTGTGTTGTTTCGAGAGAAACTTTCAATCTGTCAAGTTGGTCGAAGTGTAGCTTCTTGCTGCTGAGTTAAGCAACTAACATGAATCTTTAAAGGTGCTTTTGAATCGAGTATCCTTCGTCTTGAAGTCGAAACTTGACTCTAAAAGCTGCAAAAAATTATGTATGTGGAAAATGATAAATATGATGCTCTAAAATGTATGCATAAGATGCATGTAACATGAATTGGTTATATTTTATCTCCTGAAAAAGGTCTGATAATTTGCATTAGGATGTTGAATCCCCAAATTATGCCCCAATATTTGATGTTGAATCTTCAAAGATGCCCCAAATGTTCCTCATTTCTTGCTTCAACATTGATTCTGAGCATGAGTTTTGTGTCAAAGAGTCACATGTCATTTACCAAGATCCACTCTGGAGAGACTGTCTTGTTTGAAAAAAAAATTAATATCAATTAAAAGAGTTTTGAAAAATGTTTGATCCAAAGTTTTGAAAATATTGTCACTTTCACGGTTTTACAATTGAGACGAATCATAAAACTAGAGTTCATCGGATATCAAAGAATTAATTATACTGTTAATCCTTCAATGAATTATAGCTATTTGATAAGTGCCAAGATCAAAGCTATTTTTGGGAAGTGGTTAAGTAAGGAAAGGATTAAAAAAAATCTCAGGTCATTATGTTTGGTCAAAGGTTTGACATTTTTGTTCATTTGATGCTTAATGGTTTGATGGGGTAGCTTGTATGCTCCTCTACTGGAAGTGTTCTCCGACTCCCAGCTTTCATGGTCATATTTGGATTGTGCGATGCCTTATCAAGGAATTTGTGTGATCGCCTCAGTTGCACAATTTTTATATTCGAGCCGCCTTTTCAGGTTTTCAACTCGAATCCTCCTTTAGTTTCAAGACGTTATTCAAGATTTACGTCTTGAACCCCCTTTGTTATTTTTCTCTACCATGCATTAATTATATTATTTTTTTGCAAACAAAGATTAATCTTGATGGGCGGGATGAAATCTGAAGATATTCTCTTCTGTTTAGAAATCCATGTATGATTAGAAGGGACTTTTAAGGCACGTAATGTAGGCCAGGGTTCATGGTTATGAAAGAAAAGGATAAATAGGCCCAAACAAGTGTTTCAGGGTATTGAACCAAGGATCAATTCATTCTGATGCCTTCAATCATGTCTTGCTCAAAATGTCTCTCTCTCTTGATGCTCTATGATCTTCGAGTGAAGTGATTCAGTGATTCAGGAATGTTTGTGCTTGATCAATCTCATAGTTTGAACTTGATGTGCCATTTGTCTTTAGGGAATCTTTGCATGTTCTTTTTGTCCCTTTTTCTTTTGATTTTTGCTTCTTTTCTTTTTTGTTCTTGATTCTCTTTTTTATTTGTTTTTTGCTTCTTTGCTTTTTTATTATTGATTGGATCTTCGCACTTGCCATTTGGTCCACCTTTTGGTATCTCCTTTGGATTGATGCCTTCACTCATGTGAGAAGATTTCTCCCACCTTGCCCCCCAATATGGAGGGTGATCCTTGGTTAGGGTTGAATCAGAAGAAAAATACTATAGGCTCAAAAAGGGACACAAGGGATATATTTTCTCCTGTTGTGAAGGGATAAAGAAAGAAAGCCGTTCATCATTTCATACATGTAAGTCTTCACATAAGAGGTATCCCCAGGGGGATTTTCAGGATTAATTCTATTCGCATGAAAATAATGTAGTTAATGCATGATAGAATTATTTCGAATGATTTTTTTTGCTCCCCAGATGTCTCAATGTTCAGGCTATCTACGAAATGCCCCAAGTTAGAAGAATGCTCCTGTTCAAATGAACAACTCAATGCCTTGGGTTTTAATGGTATTAAAATGTCAATTTTGAGTCTAAAAAGACAATGGTGTGACTTTATTTGACTCAAAGAGATGTATGGGTGTATCAAAAAGATAAAGGCAATGTTCAAGAATTTCAAAGGGAGGTAATGTCAAAATTTGGTTTTTGGTAATGACCATGAGTTATTTTGGGTAAAGAATCGAGGTATTTTATATTGGGGTTTGAGACAGGATAAGAAAGGTCTAATCTTGTCATATTACAAAAATCTATAATTCTTGAAGAATTAAAAGGATCCTTAATTCATTTAATATTCGAAGAACTAAAGATTAAGATTTGTTCAATTGCTCCACCTTAGAAAGTAGTATAAATTCAATCCTTTAAAAGACTAAGAAAACATGAAAGATCGAAGACGTGTACAAACAAAACGATCCTCTAAGTGCAAATAGTATATGCCATGCCCCCTTCTTCGGCAAGCGCCTTATAGTTTTCAGAGGAATGTTTGGGGTTTTTTATGTGGTAACAGCTAACAGCTTCAACATCGTAGCCCTTAGGATATGGGGATTCTTTTCTTAGATCATCCTGGCAGGCTTTGTCCTACAATCAGCTGATCAAGCTCCCACTGTATTGTTTTCAGTTTTTTCTTTAAGGTTACAATCTTGTTTCCATGTGGTTAAATCCACTTCATCGAATCCTCCATGACTTAATTTCATGAAAATGCTTAAAAATGAAACGTAGATGCAAAATGCAAAATGCAAAATGCATGAAATGTTCGAGGCATTGATCCAAAAACATGTCTGTTATTATGAATAATCCTTATTGGGGACAAAAGTGTTTTATATTATAAGAGACAAAAATATCCTGACAGCTTCTGACATGTTGACTAGTCTTCTGCATTCGTTTGTCATCGGTTGAATACCCTGTCGAACCGTTCAGACTCCTTTGGCCAAAATGTGCAAGTGACAAGCTGTTTCCCCCAAAAAAAAAGGTCTCGAATGACTGCATCTCCGACTTTCACTCTCTGTCGAGCTTGTTTCTAACGAAAGTGTCATTGAAGTCCTCAATCCGATGCTTATCGACTTGTTTCTGAAATTCATCTTGTTCTCGTAGTTTTCGAAAGGAATCTCCGGGTCAGTAACTTTTTCCTTGTCTTGCCCCTGCAACATTTGCCTCTCAAAAATTTGACTTTAGTGTGCTCGGTGTAAATTCCGGTCAATTCGGAGTCCTTTACAATGTAGCAAAGTGACATATTCTTCGATTGCGGGTACCACGTCTTCTGGATTGAATGTAACACATAGTCGCCCTGTAGACTGTCCTCTGTATTTTCATCTCTTGTATTACAACCCCTTTGTCCATTAATGCAGATTATTCATGTTTAACAAACACGTTTTTGGTGGATCAACACCTCTTTTAAATGATGCATATGATGTAAATAAAATAAAAGAGAAAAAAAATGAAAAGAGTTAGTAAGGTAAATCAAAATAATAAAATGAAAAATCCTACCCCACATGATATCTACCCGAACATGCTTAGTATTCCTACTCGGACATGATCTCTATCCCGCATGCTAATTTCAAACAAATCCTAACCGCATATTTGTCTAGTTCGCATGCTTTGAACAGAAAGTAAAGCATGAAATAATTCTGGCATCCTAGGGTTTGAAATGAGGTTTTGGGGTAGGCTCTATTACTCCATAGTCTCCCGGTTTAGGTTCTAAAAAGGTACTCGAGTTCTCCTTGCTGGTGCCCCCATGGGCTTGCCAGACCCTTAGTCCTAAGCCTATTACAGGCTTGTGTGGACTAAGTTAAACTCAAGAGGACACATTCCCTTATGCCCATACAGAGAATAAATTCACACGAAGGCATAAGGTATATAAATCTCGAAGGCTACTTGCTAGACCCATACAGTGAATAAATTCACAAGAAGGCATCGCTTTCACCCTCACTTAAAACGGGTTCGGAGTTCAGGTTTAGAGCCTTAGATGAAAAATGTTTGGAAAGCTGAAATCATTAGAAAACGGTCAGTTCAACTATTTACTCAAAAAAATATAATCAAAAGTAAGTAATAAGGATCGAAATATTACCTTAAAATGTAAAGTTACATTTTTCGTTAAAAAGACAACTGGAAATTATCTTAGCCTGACTCACTTACCTGTGTTCCCAGCGGAGTCGCCAAGCTATCGCAACCGTCTTTCGGTTGGGCCCCGAAATTGGGCTTCGACTTGAAAAATATGGATTGAAGTCGCCACCGATCATTTATTTTTTAAAAAAATGGGTTGATCGGATACCTTATTTCTTACCTGATCTGCGTCTTACCAGAAATATGTCGGGTTCGGGAGTCGGTTACAGTCAAGGAAGGATTAGCACCCTTGAACCGCCCTTTCGGTACCAATTAATTTACTAGTTGTCTTTATTTGCGAAAATTCGAAATTAAAATTAAAATTTAACAGACCCGATTCAAATCATTCACCTTTGATTAGTTAAAACTATCCCTAAAAATGTTAGATTTAAAAAAAATACTAAATAAACTAAAGAGGAAAAAATATAAATTAAAAGAAAAAAAAAAGTTGAGAAATGAGCAAAATAGAAACGACAAGTTCCCTGGCCATGTAAAAGCTATTGTTCTCTTTTGTAATTATGAAATAAGCTTTGGCAAGTGTCATTTGTTCTGCCAACTGTCGAGACAATGACATAGCACCCAATAGTTTTTTCAGTAAAGTTTCTTTCGAAATAATTCAATTCCTGACATAGAGTTGACAAAATAAATTAAACCAACGAGAATAGTATAATTAAAATAAAAAAAATACCGCATTTTGTCTGGCATTGCTCTCAGCGTCTATATACGGCCCACTCCAAGAGATGAGTTCTTACCCTTTGATTTTAGCATCAAGGCGTTTTAACATAGGAGCATTCTTTAACCTATCCGGTATGACCATGAACCCAACTTTACTGCCTCGGATGAAAACATGCTCAAGCTGCGAAACCTTTCCCTCTTTAGCAGTGAAGGTGATGTTCTCAAGCTGGCAATTCCAATTATCCTTGCACTCGGCCATGCTTCCTCTGTAAAGCTCTCCACTCTTGAGTTCCACCGTTATGATGTGACCCGACACCTCGTGTAGTAGCTTCACCGGTATGCCCAAACTCCAACTCATTGTTTCTCGCTCGCCTGCTTTGCTTATGGAATTCAAAATTGATTCTTTATGTTTCGTGTTCTTCTTATTTGTCTTTTATAGCGAAACCATTTTGTTACGCTTAGACTTTGGTATCTTCGACGATGAAGGTCGCCTGAAAAAGATGAAATCAACAGGCGACCTATTTACCCTGCTTATGCAACTCGTAAACCCCTCTCTGTTCTTTTCGTGTACAACTCGTGTGTTTTTTGTGTCCCCCATGAGTGTTCTAGTTACATGGGATTTATAGCTTAGGATTTTAGAGTTTGATCCCTATTAGAATTCTAACTCAGTTGTTTGTTGGTTTGTTATCTCCATGAAATCCTTACGTCGGAGAAATCGGAGTGGTTGAAGATGGGATATGCATCCGTGAAATCCGAGCTTGGGAAGTTCCGTGCGGCGCTGCTTGCTAGGGTTCCTGGAAACCTTGATCTGAGTTGGTTTGTTGGGCATGTGGTGCCTGTTGGGCCTCGTGTTTTTTTGTAGGGCCTGCAAATGTAACAAAAACAATAAATAAATAAATAAATAATATAACACATAATATATATATATATAATATGTTTTATATTAAATATTATAATGGGACAAAATTTGGTGTCTACAGCTGTTGAGAAGGATAAGTTGGTATTTGATTTGCCGCGTAGCTGAAGTTTGGATGGTCTAGCTTTGTGCATATCCCACATGCTCTTGTTGCTCCATATTTTCCTGCAACAAGTGAATTAACTACTTTAGTTAATTTATCTAACTTATTTTCAAGGGAAAATATACTTATCTCGTGAACCCGTCGGCTGGGTTCACTTGAAAACTGTTGAGAGTTGGCTGCCATGTTGAAATCAATTCCCTTGTTGTTGTTGGGATCATGTTGATTAATGCTCCTCCACTTGCGACATCCACCATTTTCATCTCCATTGGTAAAAGGCATTCACAAAGCTTTTTAAATCGCTCCCAATAGTCATAAAGACTTTCTTCGTTCTTTTTCTGAATGAAAAGAATGCTCTTTTGCAACTCACTTGCTTTAGCCGCTGGAAAGAACCTGTCAAGAAAAATTCGATTCATGCCAGCCCATGAATTAACCGAATTTGGAGGTAAATAAAATAACCAATCTTTAGCCAAGTCGGCTAAAGAGAAAAGGAAAGCTCTTAATTTAATTTGATCATCGGTAACTCCCTGTGGTTTCATGCTAGTGCAAACCATGTTGAATTCCAACAAGTGTTTGTGTAGATCTTCAGTGGGAAAGTCGTGGAAGGTGGGAAAAAGATGAAAAAGTATCGTCTTTAATTGAAACGGAGTCCCGCCACTAGGAAAATTAATACATAATGGCGTCCGAGTGACAAGTGTTGTGACTAGTTCTCAAATCGTTTGTTCTTCTGCCATCGGAATGTTGTATGCGTCTGCTTCGATCTCCAGATCTAGATCTAATAATTCACTTGGGTTTCTTCTGGTCATAAATAAAAAACTAGAAACATAAATCAGTACTGCTGTTAGTCCCGACAACGGCGTCAATTTGATAAACGTTATTTTGCTATCAAAATAATTCCTGGCTTCTTAATAAATAAAAAGGAAAAATGTAGTATAGAGAAGCGGGGTCGATCCACAGGGACTGTGGTGTTTTTGATTTAATAAAACTCTTTCTTGATTTTAGAAGAATATAGAATTCCAGATGAAGGTGAAAAGATATATTAAAATAAAATAAATAAAAAAGGAAAAATATAATAATAAATATTAATAGTAATAAATATAAAAGGGGATTTTTAAAAGTTGTTTTTAAAATAAAAATAAGAATGAAATAAAAGAAAAATAATTAAATAAACAAATTAAAGAGATTGAGATAAAGGGAAACTTATCGTGAAAGCAGCCTCAGACTTCAGCTTTGTCTCAAATTCCTCGGATCATCGAAACAGATTTTTACTTCAAGATTCATGTTACCTTACAAGAACAATTCTTCGTTGCCAACTCGGATTGTGTCGTTTCAATAACAACTGATTCCGATCTCAGTTTCCTCTTAGCAAACAATTTTGCTAAGTGTGTTCTTGGGAAGTTGAATATGCTTCAATAAGCAAATTATTCTTCAAACATTAACCATAATAATATTCGGACCAATGTCGAAATCGTTTTGATTTGAAAAGTAAGCTCAGAAAATAGAGAGAAAATCCGAAGAGATTTAAGTACCTTACAATTCTCACGTTTGGAATTGAGCTTTCGCTTTATTCTTCGGCTTGAAAGAAAATTAGCTAAGCATGACCAAAGTCATGCTTAGCATAATAGAAAAGTATGCGAAAATTATAGAGAAAGCTAGAGAAAAAGAAGATTTTATTCTCAAATGAGAGAGATAAGTTTCTAGGCTCACCCTTAGAGGGTGTTTATAGCCTTTAAATTCCTAAAAACAAGCTAAAACATCTTAAATCCTAATTAAAACACTTAAAACTATTTAAACTAAAATACCTAAAAATAATATAATATTATAAATCCTAATTAAAACACTAAAACCTGTTTCAACTAAAATACCTAAAACAAAGATAAAATATAAAAATAATATCCTAAAACTTAATTAAAATACTAAAAACCTATTTAAACTAAAATACAAAGATAAAATATAATGTTTAAATATTATCCTAAACTTGAGTTTAATTCAAATCCGAATTCCAGCCAGCTTTGATTCCGAAAATAAAAAACTACAGAATTGTGTCCTTTTTGTGTAATTTCTAGAATCTTACATCATGTACAAAAAATGAATTAAAATAAACAAATAATCCACAAAAATCAATGATTAAAGAGTAATTTAAAAGTAAAATATTAACTAAAATAAGCACTTATCATATATTAATCTACCTATTAACCTTTGATAACCAGTATTGTTTTGTAAAAACCCATAATCAGCTTCTTTGTTTGTCCCTTCATCAAACTCTGTTGATGTGAGCTTAATATTATGTTCCAGTGGTGTCAAACAAGGTTTAGCTCCTTGTAAACTAACATCCACTATGAGCTCCAATGTACACTTTCATTGGTTAAGAATTATCCCCTCCTTAGGCCTTAAGACTTCAAGCCCAAGAAAATACCTCAAATCCCCCAAGTCTTTCATTTTGAAGTTATGATACAAAATGCCTTTTAATTAACTAATCAATCCTTCATCAGCCCTGTAATTAACATGTCATCCATATAAACAAGTATCAACACCAATCGACTTCCTTTTTTTGTGAACAAAGAATAATCACATTTGCTTTGTTCATAGCCTACGAAAACCAATGCCTCTATTAAGTTCTTATTCCACTTCCTTGAAGTTTTCTCTAACTCATACATAGATTTATGCAACCTACATACAAGGTTCTCCCCCCTAACTGTAAAAATCATCAGGAAGCTTCATATATATGTCTTTGCTCAAGTCACCTTGTAAAAATGCATTATGCACATCCATTTGATGAAGAGGCCAATCAAGATTTACAGCAAGACCAAGGATAGTTCGAACGGTAAAAAACTTGGCTACCAGAGAAAAGTATCAACATATTTAATTCCCTCTTTCTGACTATAGCTTTTTGCCACTAGACGAGCCTTATAACATTCCACTTCACCCGCGGTCCTATACTTAATCTTGTAAATTCATTTACAACCAATGATAATTTTGCCTAAGGGTAAAAGATCTACATACCATGCACCATTTGATTCTAAGGCTTGAATTTCCTCCTTTGTTACATGAATCCACATAAGGTTTTTAATGTCTTCAAAAAAAAAGTAGAGGGTTCAGTTTGAACAAAAGTATCAGAAGGAAAAACTTTAGTTTTATTAGGAAAATAGTCATAGGTAATTAAATGAGAAATGGGGTACTGACCTGGAAGTAAAGAAGATTAATAGGAATGTACATAGACATGTAACCAGTTTGGAGGCTTAGAAACCCGAGTAGATTTTCAAACAGGAATAGGCACATTCAAAGGAACAGGAACAATAGAGGAATGACTACTCTCAACCTCTGAGTTATTTGGTGAAGGAAAAACTTTAGTTTTATTAGGAAGATAGTAATAAGTTATGATTCAAAATACTAACATAAATTTTGAAATTTGTTATGTCGGGTAAACGATTCTTGTGTAGACCATGACCGAAAACAAGGCCAAAGCGAGAAATGACAAAGTTCGAGAGTGAAATCGATAGATATAGTAAGGCATACAAATGAGGCATAATGTGAGTGCATTTTTACCTATTATATATATATGATGAACAAAACTTGCGATGAGTCAACCTCCACTTCTTCGAAAAGAAAAAAATTAAATCGTATTTTGAAAATATATATTTTAATACTATTTCACAACATGGTATTTAGATGCTTTCGGGTATGAATTGCCTAATACAAAATTTTTTCTGAGTTTTTACTTTATTCTTATACATGGATTAGTTGATATGTAAAATGATATATGATTACGGTAAAAACACAATGTATGTGTATTGAGAATCATAGGTACATATGACATGCCATGAGGTGAAGTGTTATAGATCGATCTTGATTAGTGCATTCGTGCACTCTTGTATTGGTATTTTTAGAACTCTTGTATTAGTGCATTCCTGCACTTCTGTATTAGTACTATTGGGTACTCATGTATTGAGTACATTCATGTACTCCTTGTAATACATGTGTAATTATGAGGTTCATGGTGTTTGTCTTCATGAACTACCACATGATACCTAGTATAGTAACATGTATTTAGCACTCAACGAGACTCACGTACTTGATATTCTCAGTTAAAATCAATTGAATTATGATTTAAATACACAAAAAGTACGGATTTATATGGTTTGAATATGGAAAGCAAAAAATATATGAACCAAATTATAACAAAAACTTTATCGAATACTTGGATTTTTTCTATATGTTTATATGTGAAATTTCTTTGAGAACTTTATTTTATGCATTTAATATTATTTTAGTAATTTTCTTTGTTGTAATTTTTTATGATATTTTTATTATTATTTGGTTTTATTTAAATTACCTAACACCT